GAAATTACTCGGGAAGCAGAAGGAACAGATACATCAATTCTGTCTCTGGCAAAATTTCAAGCAGTATTTCGGATCCAGATATATTTTGGGGACACTGACTCTGCCAAAAGTAAAAGAGAAAAATACAACCAGGCATCTTTATACCGGCTTCCGCTAGTAAAGAACAAGATGGACAATACCCTCTTATAACTGTAGACCTTGAAATTTTCAGATTTTTATTTTTTTACACACCATGTAAATAATTGTTCATTTTTTCATATTTTGACACAAGATGAAGTTGCAACCTGCTCTTTGCTTCCCTCCCAAAAAAGGCTAAAAATATATATGTTTAGACTATATCAGTATATAGAATTTACAATACAACCATGATCCCATCCCTATGAACAATATACTTTAATATTAATAAACACTGACATTTAATGATGAATTCATTTTTAAGGCCTTTCACCTGTGCTATGTTTTTAAAACTATCCTACAGGAACCAAAATGCAGTAGGACAGAATATTCCATTATGAAAAGGGGATGTGATTCCATCCCCAATCAATGTTGGAATGATACTTGCATAACTGGGAATTTATCTGGCCCATTAAGTAACTTTTTTTTTAACTATGAGGGTTTAAACATTGCATGAAAGACAGTCCAGGGCATATTTAAAACGTTGGTGGGCATTTTTGGCCAATACCAAGCGTTTTCTGAATATTTTACCTACTTCAATAGTCCACACAGAGCTGTGTTTGTAGTTTGGGAACAGTATAAACATACAGCCTGCCACAACCATGACATCAGCAGCGCAAAATCATCTGGATAATTAGCCAGCCCAGGCACAGAGTTTAATCCCTTTTTCCACCACCACTATTGCAACTGCTAGTCCGGACTAAGTGGCGAGAGGAAGAAAACAATGCACCCGGCTAGTGTCCCAGGCTGATTTTAATACCCTCCTCCCACGTTCACTTTTTTTTTAAACTCCCCAGAGGATCTCTCGCTGCTGGTGAGTGGACAAGACTGCAGCCCCCCTCCGCTGCACACCCGGGCGCTGCTAGAGAGCTAGTTCCTACACAGCGCACGTCCCACCCACACTGGCATCCAGCACAGCTACTGCACCGAGGCTGACAGGTGTACAATGCGCGCCCCCCAGCCACATAAATCACACCCATCCCACGAACCTGCCGGCTGCTCCTTAGAGAGCTCGTGGGATGCCTCTGTTCAGGCTGCGGGGAGGCAGGGGGGACCGAACAGGGCTCTCCTTCCCCATCAGACATCATCCAACCGGCGAGAGCCGAGATATGAAATCAACAAAGTCACGCTTCCCAGTCACGTGCCCACTGTTTTCATCCTATGGACTTTTTCTCTGGTTTCCCCCCCCCCCCCCACACACACACACACACACAAAACACAACACATACAGACACCCTTTAAAGGTGAGCCCATGCCGGGATTAATTCAACACCTCCCCCTCCCACACACACACACACACACACACACATCACAGCAGAGGAAGGCACAGGCTGGAGAAGATGGTAGCCTTGAGCCTAAGCACAAGCTATCAGACTCTAGCCCCATCGATTACTAGCTCCTTTCCTCTCCCCAGGGCCAGCCAGCTGCTGAGAGAATCCGATTTAACAACCCAAGGCAGCAGCCCAATGCATTACCCTGGTCCCTGGCGGGGCAGCGATCCTGCACGCCACCCAGCATGGGGCCAGTCCCCCCCTCCACACACCCCATAGCTAGGTTCCCCTTCTCAGAGACAAAAGTTGGGTTTTTAATTGTTACTATAGCCCTTCCTCATCTTGATCCATGCAAAGCCCCGTGTGCACTCACCACTGTGACCGGTGACACCATGTCTGCTAGGCAGGCTTCAAGCAGAAGTGCAGTCCGTGACCCGGGCTGTGCCGCTGGATCCCACTGCCTGGCGCTTTCCCTTTAAATAGGATCAGAAAATGTATCTGTTTTTCTCAATGCCGATTGTTTTCTGGGTTCTTTTTTAGAACGCAATGACATCACAAAGGCCGGCGCCAATGGGCTGAAGGGAGAGGAGCTGGGGGGTGGGACTCCAGCCAGCTCTGCCTCAGTCGCCCCTCCCTCTGTCTTCCTCTCTAGGCTCACGATCTGCAGCTGAATAGACCCAGCTCATTAGAGGAGAGGAATGGGCTGGCAGCTTCTCGCCCCCCCTTCCTTCCAGCCGCTCTCAGGAGCACAACCTTGTCTTCCTAATGTCCACACTAGGCACCTACTCGCACACATGGGTATACAAAGACACATGTGCATAAACATCTAAACTGGTAAACAGATGTGAGTAAAAATCAAATCCTGCTGATTTTCGCAACCCAGCTCCCAAATAAAGAAAATAGCCAGTTACTACTTATGCACCAGAAACATCTAGAATCCAGCACATCTTAGAACCATAGTGCTGCAAAACATTTATCCTAGATATGCATTCTAATGGACCCTGCTGTTTTTTTGGATTCAGACTCCCAAATTGCACATTTTAAAGGACTCACCCACCTACTACTGCCTTGCCAAAGGCTTCTGGAATATGGTACATCTAGTAGCTACAGGGCAACAAAAAAGTGGATCCAGATCCTACCAGTTTTTGCACCCTGCTCTCCAAAATGCCTATAGTTTATCTATCTATCCTCACACCTGTATGCATCTATTATATATAATTATCCTCACACCTGTATGCATCTATTATATATAATAGTTATGTGTCAAATCACCAACTGAATAACATGGTTAACTGGTGGGCTGGAGCAGCTGCACACCCACCTCGGGCAGGGAACTGCTCCTGTCCTGCAAGTCCCACTGTGGTCAGGGGGCACCCAAGCCTAGCCAAAGTAGCCTCCAGTCACAGCCAGCAGAGGTGCTCTAGCCCAGCTAGAGCAGTCCCTATCTACAGCAGGTCTGGCCTGGCTAGTACAGCCCCTACTCACGGCAGGGGGGCTGCTCCAGTCCAGCCACGTCCCCTACCTGCTTCCATTTAATCAGTTAACCAGGACTTTACATCCCTACTAGACAAACTATAGCTCAGAAGGGGAATGATACATACCCTAAAGAGGCTACACTCTAAAGTAGACACATATTAAAGAATAGGTTATTTTAAGTGAATTTTGAAGAACAAAGGGCAACTGCAAAATATTTTTAGGGCAAGACGGAGTGAGGACAATGGAGGATATTAGAAGCCAGATGAAGGTTGAAAGCTGCAAAATAAGGATTGGTACATAAACAAGATTATGATAAACAGGAGTATTGACTCTATAAGCATCAATTAAATAATTACTCCTCCTGTTTTTACTTTGTACATAATACATACTAGTATGCTCAGGATGCTGTCATCAGTGTTTCTGAGATAATGACCAGATTAGTGACTCCTTTGCTATCTTCAGTTGCATTCCTTCAGATAAATACTGGTAAACAGCCATTAAGTCAGAGGCTGTTCTCCATGCTCAAGGGTAGAATCACAGCCAGTGCATTTTCCATGTGTCATAAGTGTTTTTCTCTCTTATATAAACAGGTTTCCTTCTGACTCGTTTAAAATAAACCAGGAAACATACATCTTTTACTAGGTTATATGATGGGTGTCCACCCCACATTGGCATAAGGGGTTCAAAGAGCCCAAGAGAAGCTGCACTGGGGAGAGGCTAAGGAACAACCATTCCAGGCCCAGCGGGCCCATATAAGAAGGGCTGCAGGAGCAGAGCGAGGGGAGTCACTGCCTGGAGCTCAAAGAGGGAAGTGGGGATTCCAGGCAGGTATTTAGAAGGTAGTACCATGGGCAGACCAACTGCTGGCAGGGTCTTGGGGGAGTGTCAGGAAGGCCCTGTCTGTCTGTTAGGACTGACATGCTGAGGCCCTGAGGTAAGAGTGAAGAAGGAACTGGGAGAAAGTGGCCGAGGGAAATGTTCTGAGAAGTTGACGGAGATGCAGCAGGTGGCCGCCCTCTATAGAATGCTTGGGCTGGGACCCTCTCTGGTCCCTGTCACTTGCCACTGGGAAAATGGCTGGACTGTTGCATTGTGTACTAAATGCTGGAAAGGGGAGCACAGAGGGCATGTCTACACAGCAGCATTATTCCAGAATAACAGACATTATTCCAAAATAACTATGCAAGTCTCTACACAGCACGTGTCTTATTCCAGATTCTGTAACTCTCATTCTACGAGGAATGATGCCTATTCTGAAATAGCTATTTTGGAATAGGGCGAGTGCAGACAGAGCAGCTGGAGTTATTTTGACATCAAGGGCCTCCAGGAAAACCCACAGATGTCACCGCTCTGTCCACACTCATCAGACCTCTATAGTTTCCCTTCCCCTGCATTCCTTGCTAGTGGCACGAAGCAGGCCCTATTTGCATCGTGCCACATAGCAGGATAATAGGATCCTGCACAGGACCCAGACCCAACATTCCCTCTTGCCATGGCCAAGCCCACTGCTCCAGCCGAGCCCCCCACAGCTGCCAGCACTGCCTCAAGCAGCTCCAGGATCCTGCTTGGGGCCAAAAGAGGCATGTGCCTTCCTGGTCTGGTGTGGAAATCCTGGACCTCATTGAGGGGAGTGAAGGAAATTTCCACGATTTCCACACCAGATGCAGGAATGTGGACTTCTATGGCTGGATGGCCAATAGCCTGGCCACCAAGGGCCACAGGCGCACCCAGGAACAGGTGCGCATGAAAGTAAAAGAACTCAGGCAGACCTATGCCAAGGCCAGAGAGTGCAGCTCCTGCATCAGGGCAGCACCGCAGGGCTGCCCATATTATGCACAGCTCCACCGCATCCTTCGGGCAGGTCAGTCGTCCCCCCGTTGTGGACTCTGGACTGGAGGCGCCCGTTATCATCCTCCTGGGGGACAGAGCCAGTGAGGAGGAGGAGCCGGACGAGGCCAGCACCAGCTCCACGCCTGCTAGCCAGGATGTTGTGCTCTCCCTGCAGCTGGTACCCCCCTCCCAGGATGTCCCCCGGGCATCATCCAAAGCCAGGGAAGGCCCCTTGGGTGAGTGCCATTATTTTCCCTAGACATGCATGAGTGCAGGCGGTGGTGGCGAGGGACAGCTGCATGCTCCTCGCTTGGCCTCCTTGGCCTGGGGATCACGCAGCAGCCTGAGCATGTGGGTGCATGTGGAGTGCCAGTCCAGGGCACACAGCCCCAGGAGGCAGCTACAGCAAACCCAGGTACTCTGGCTCATAGGGTGTCTGGAGAGGCCTGCCTCACTCCTGACACTGGGGTGGGACACCGTCCCACCACAAGCCACCGCTAGAAGGAGGCTGGGGACATGGACACACACACACACTCTGAGGAGAGCCACATGTGGCACACGGGCATGCCTGTGCTCTCAGGGCAGCATCCGCTCCCAGGGACAGCGCAGCAAGGTGGAGGAGCATCCGCCACTCACACACACCTTCCCCCAACACCCTGCCCCCCTCTCCTCCAGCGGGCAGGGATACGAGTCCTCACCCTGTGGGATGCCACCACTGCCAGACCCGGCATGTTCACGGCACAGAGGGAAGCTCCGCTGCCCCATAGCCCCCCTCTCACTCTCAGGCTCCTGCTCTAGCTGGCATCTTCCCATGCCTGCTTGTCCCCAGGACATGGGGATAATGAGACTCGCCCCTTGGACATCTGTGCCCCTGCAGGAAAGGACCCACTGTCTAGGCCTCAGGTGGCCTTGGTTGAAGCACATCGCCTTCGTCTGACCTGAGAACTTTAGGTCTTGGCTCAGAGATGAGGGCTAGGCTTCATGCACAATGTCTCCAGGGACAATTGCCATCCTCTTTGTTCTCCACAGCTGGACCAGCTGCAAGAGGGGAGAGGTTGACACCTCCCATGCCATCCTCCCTGTCAGGCAATTAAAAAAATTTAATCACGATTAATCGTGCAATTAAAATTAATTGCGTGATTAATTGTGCTGTTAAACAATAATAAGAATACTATCTGTTTAAATATTTTTGATGTTTTCTACATCTTGAAATATATTGATTTCAATTACAACACAGAATACAAAGTGTATAGTGCTCACTTTATATTTATTTTTAATTACAAAACATTTACACTGTAAAAAAAAAACTTCAGTTCACCTCACTGAGGGTATGTCTACACTTCAAAGTTAATTCGAACTAACAGACGTTAGTTCGAATTAACTGTGAAAGGCGCTACACAGGCAAACCGCTAGTTCGAACTTAATTTGAACTAGCGGAGCGCTTAATTCGAACTAGGTAAACCTCATTCTACGAGGACTAACGCCTAGTTCGAATTAAGTAGTTCGAATTAAGGGCTGTGTAGCCACTTAATTCAAACTAGTGGGAGGCTAGCCCTCCCCAGCTTTCCCTGGTGGCCACTCTGGGCACCACCAGGGAAACTCGTCTGCCCCCCTCCCGGCCCCGGAGCCCTTAAAGGGGCACGGTCTGGCTACGGTGCCCATGCCAGGTGCAAGCCTGCCAGCACCCAGCCAGCAGACCCTGTACCTGGCACGGTACGAACCAGCCACCCGCTGCCACCCAGCCCTCCGCCTCTTCCCGGGACCAGGCTGGCAGCTCCTGGGAGCCTGCCCGGGTCCGCAAGAGGCGGGCGCCCACCTGGTCTAGTGCGGGGAAAGTGGACCTCATCCATGACCTCCGCACTAGGCACAGGAAAGTGGCCGGCTAGGGCAGGAGAGCTGCCAACCTGGCCACCAAGGAGCAGGTTTGCATGAAAATCAGGGTGGTCCAGTGAGACCCCCGACCCTGAGCCCTGAGCTTAGAATGGCCATACTGGGTCAGAACAAAGGTCCATCTAGCCCAGTAGCCTGTCTGCCGACAGTGGCCAACACTAGGGACCCTGGAGGGGATGGACCAAAACAATGACCAA